ACCGCTCTTTTTCTTCTTCTGAAAAATGTGTAACTACTGAAAAATTGTTCTAACCCTTGGACGAAATTATGAAAATGTGAGCAGATCAATACCACTTGTACATAAACTGTGGAGGAGGTGAAGTAATGGTGGATGGTAAGAAGTATGAGGCTGATCAAGAACCAAAGGGTGCTTCCATGTTCTACACTTCCCCTGACAAGCACTGGGCATTTAGCAGTACCGGGAATTTCATGGACAATGACGATGATGCTGACGATTACATAGTCAGGAACACATCCAAACTATTGATCAATGCTTCATCTCAAAGTTTGCAACTTTACAGGACGGGTCGTGTTTCCCCTCTCTCTTTGACTTACTATGGACACTGTCTTGGCAATGGAAACTACACCGTAAAGCTCCACTTTGCGGAGATAATCTTTACCAACGACACTTCCTTTTACAGTCTTGGCAAACGTCTGTTCGATGTTTATGTTCAGGTATATATCTGGACTCATTTTCTTTACTCTATCTAACTTTCATGTTAATCATAATAGAGACTGATTTCCTGGCTTATTTCTTTGCGCACAGAACAAATTAGTGCTAAAAGACTTCAACATTGAAGAAGCAGCTCGTGGAACAGGCAAGCCGATCATAAAGGAGTTTATGGTTAATGTAACAGATCATACTTTGAAGATCAAGTTCTACTGGGCTGGGAAAGGGACAACGGGTATCCCAGTACGAGGCGTTTATGGACCTCTTATATCCGCTATATCGCTTGAACCCAGTAAGTCTTCTTGCTCTGATATTGTTGTCCTTTAGATGAAAACTCCCGAAATGTAAGGGGGCAGATCGATGATAGTACATTTTTTGAAGCAGACTTCAAACCTCCGGTGTATCGTGACAAGAACACTATCCTGATAGAAGCAGTAACGGCTGCTGCAGTTTCGCTTCTCGTGCTTATAATCGTGGGCATATTGTGGAAGAAAAAGTGTGATAAAGACGATATAGATAAAGGTAGAAAAGCTTCAAAGTCGCCATTTTTACGTGTATATCCGCATGTTGTTAATATGCTGGAGAACTATTTTCCTTACTGGTGAACAGAGCTAAGAGGTTTGGACCTTCAAACCGGAATCTTCAGTCTAAGACAGATGAAAGCTGCCACTGATAACTTTGATGCATCAAACAAGATCGGTGAAGGTGGATTTGGCTGTGTTTACAAGGTAATATAGCATTTTCCTTCGAGTTTCTCGGTTTGTTTTCGAGTCTTTATGAAACTATTGATACACCCATTTCAAGGGACATAAAGGTCAATCCTTCTCATGGTGCAGGGTACGTTATCGGACGGGAAAGTGATTGCAGTTAAGCAACTTTCCTCGAAATCCAAACAGGGAAACCGCGAATTCGTAAACGAAATAGGAATGATCTCAGCTTTGCAGCACCCGAATCTTGTGAAGCTATACGGATGTTGCGTCGAAGGAAACCAGTTGCTATTGATCTACGAGTACATGGAGAATAATTGCCTTTCCCGTGCGCTTTTTGGTACCGTCTTATAACTTGACAAAACAATGTTTTTTTATTGACAAAGATCCTCGTAAATTTTATCTTCTTTCCCCAGGGAAGGACGTAAAGACTAGACTGAAACTAGATTGGCCAACGAGGAAGAAGATTTGCTTGGGCATAGCCAGGGGACTCGCATATCTCCACGAAGAATCGAGATTAAAGATCGTACACAGGGATATAAAGGCGAGCAATGTATTGCTCGATAAGGATCTCAATGCTAAAATCTCCGACTTTGGTCTGGCAAAGCTAAACGATGACGGTAACACGCACATCAGCACCCGGATCGCGGGAACTATGTAAGGATTTCATTAGAAGTTCGAGTGAAGAAAGATCTGAAGGATACATATACGTTCTTGAAATGATTGTTGTATTGTCTGTAGAGGTTATATGGCACCCGAATACGCTATGCGTGGCTATCTGACCGAAAAGGCGGATGTATACAGCTTTGGAGTCGTCGCGTTGGAGATCGTCAGCGGAAAGAGTAATACGAATTTCAGACCGAACGAGGAATTTGTTTACCTTCTTGACTGGGTAATAACCAGATCATTCAAAAGCTCATCTCTTCTTTTCTGTATTCTTTTTCTTGCATTCTCTTGAACTGATAAAAAGAAAAACCTTGTAGGCATACGTTCTTCAAGAAAGAGGATCGTTATTGGAGCTGGTGGATCTGAACTTAGGGTCAGATTACTCAACAGAGGATGCGATGGTGATGTTAAACGTGGCATTGATGTGTACAAACGCATCTCCGACGCTAAGACCCACAATGTCGCAGGTTGTCAGCATGCTCGAAGGCAAAACTGCTGTCCAAGAAATTCTGTCGGATCCAAGTTTCTCGACGGTCAACCCTAAACTCAAGGCCATAAGAAGCCATTTCTGGCAAAACCAGAGCCAGAGCTTCACTGCATGCACCGCCTCCATTAACTCGTTTGTCAAGGAAGAAGAAGAGCGTGAAGGGCTTTTATGTTGAGTCTGGTTATACAGGGAGTGTTGTATGATATCAATCTCTCTGTAGATTCGTTTCATATAGATATAGATATAAACATATGTAGTGCCCAAGATATGGATGGCTCCAGATAAGTTTGGTAATGTAGAAAAAGGAAAGGTTGGTTCTTTTTACAGTGATGTTAAAAAGCCTACCCAAAAAAAAAAACTGTAACATATGTAAACCAAAGGACACGGGTTAGTTCGGTTCGGATACCTGCAGTATCCGAACCGAACTTTCAGCGCACCTTGTGGTTATCTGAATCTCGGTACTCGATCTCCATGAGACTGAAATCAAGTACTTCAACCGAGAAACTTGAAAAGGCAAAACCGAGATGAGATAAAGGCAACTCAGTGTACAAAACATCCCGATGAATGGAAGTCTGGAAATAAAATCTCCCCATAAAGATGATTTGTAGAGAAACTGGTTCCAAGACTCGAACATTTGACCTCGAGTTACAACAACAACAACCTCAAAAGTGATATGAGCTTTCAAATTTGGAGAAACATGAAATGAAGATTCTTGAACGGCGTTGTTCTTGTTCGTCCACAAAGGCTTTGTCTTAAAAAAGGTAAAAAAGAGCACAAGGGATTGTATCACTACGAACCAACCAACCCTCCATTGTCACACTTATTGCATCCTAACTTACAAACTGTGACTGCTGTCCGATGCCAACTCCTACAAACCTTGAGAGCTTATGTAGTGTTAGAAACTATGCCGAGTAGCACCAAAAATGCTGAAATCCGCAAATGGGGAATTACGAGATTATGCAGTTCCTGTTCCGGGTTCATTCCTTTTCGTGCCATAAGCGATGAAGTTAACGCTAACGTCATCAGATAACAACCATCTTCCTGTTAACGGGTTGTAGACAAATCCAGCCATCTCTTTCACCTGCAACCGAGAAAAGGTTACCTCTTAACCGCTAGAGTTTTCAGTTTCTTTTTTGGAATGTTATTATCATATTAGTTTTTCTCTAGCAACTTTAAAAACTCAGCTTTTTTTTTCCTCACATCAATTGAAGCACGCTGCAGAATCATGGCAAGCTCTTCAGGTGTTAGAAAACTTGTCCACTGGTGTGTGCCTTTTGGAAGCTACAAAAAGATTTTCAATATGCAAAAACACAATATATGTGACAGAAAATCGTAATGATAACTGTAAAACAAGACATGAGAAAACTAAAGAAGTTACCCAATTCAGGATGTACTCTGCTGCAACAATGGCTGACATGTATGCTCTCATAGAACGGTTAATGGTAGATACTATGGTAGCCCCATCCGGACTGGTCAATGCTGACAGTGACTTGCAGAACTCCGCGGGATTTGCCACATGCTCAATGACCTTAATCAAAGAATCAAACATTTGCCACAAAATCAAGATTCGAGGACAAAAGGAGGGAGAAAGGGAAAACACATGTATGTGGTGCAGGTATAGAGAATGATGAACCTCTAAGGCAAGAACAGCATCAAATTTTCTCTCCTCCTCCACCAGCTTCTCTGTGCATCGAAACCATCCATACAGTAGGTTATGAAAAAAGTAAAGATAACTTAAAACTGGTTTCTTATGAAGATCAAAAGTGTCAATTGAATATACAGCCAAGGTCCAGACGGAACTGATATGAACAAGTACACTGATTTTTCCTCTTCCTGTTTTTTGAATAAAAACATCTAGAAGAAAAATCTACATTTCAAAGATTTCTTTGTAAAGAAAATTTTATTTACACAATTCACATTCTGATACGAAGTACATTGATTTAGAATATACCAGCTGTTGTACAATGGTACTCAATTGTTGAAGTGGCTGGATCCAGACCCTGCAGACAGATATACCCTTGACATAAGCCGAAAACAGTTTAGATAGCAAACACTGAGGGGAAAATTAGCAAAACCATTCCATCAGCAATAATCCCATACAATAATAATGTAGATGACATTAGTAACTTGATGAGCACCAAAATCTCGACGAATCAAACCCCAAACTAAGAAAATGTTAAGATCCCAATGCATCATCAACCACAAAGCATGGTTCCAATTGTTCGATCATTCAGAAAGGTGGTAACAAGAATGCAACTGGAGCGTTGCGTTCAAATAGTACTGCAGAAAGAGCGCTTTTTTTTTCATTTGTCATGATAATGCTATTCGCGCTATATTCAGAAGGCACTAATAGTTTAACTTTAGATCTTCAGGTCTAATAATGGACATGAGCCCGGAGAACCAAACAGAGAAGAGAATAAGCCTAAGGGGACCAAATTAACAATTCAAAATGTTCGGAAATTCCGAAACAGAATAGAGATAATATTGACAATCGAACTTATGAGCAGAGTAAAGTAAATAGCATTCAATTGACAGGAGAAAAAAATCCATTTTAAGACAGGGGCCAACCGCCAACAGCAAAAGCACTGGTGGAATTCATGTTCTCTAATCCTCATTCCTTCAGCAGGCTTAGTAGCATATATATACTACTGTGGGGCATTGTCAAATTTAGTAATTTATTTACATAAGCACTGATAGGATAAGCATGACTGAGTTTCACAACAATCTAGTCAGAGACCTTACAGCATGAAGACGGGCAATCTTGATATTTTTATCCACGGCATCGACTCCTGTAACAGTTGCTCCCAACCGTGCCAGGGGCTTCAAAAAAACAAGATGGGGAAATGTCACAAAAAACCACTGGTAAAAAGGATCTTCCTTTCACCAATCAACACTGTAACTCCCTATAAAGGGCAGCCCGGTGCACAAAGCGTCCCCGTTTAGCGGGGGTCCGGGGAAGGATCCCACCACAAGGGTGTATTGTAGGCAAACCTTACCTTGCAGATATTTCTGCAAGAGGCTGCTTCCAAGACTCGAACCCGTGACCTCTAGGTCACAACGGTAACACCTTAACCGGTGCGCCAAGGCTCCCCTTCAACACTGTAACTCCCTATGTTTGCTCAAAATCTCAATTACCAATCATCCAGAGAGAAGCAATAATGATTTCTAGAGTATTCTCTCAGCACTCTATGCCGCTGTTCAGAACATACCGCGGTTCGCATACAAGGAAAAAGCAATGATATTCAATAAGAAACACTTAGAACCGAAGATATAAGAAACCAGGGAGAGCAAATTACCTCAGAAAGTATTCCACCACCACAGCCCACATCAATGAAACTCAGTCCTTCGAAGGGCCTTGCAGAAGTAGGATCCCTCCTGAGAAAAAATGGGTTAATCAAACCAGAAAGCAACATTCACACAGTACATAGATATGGGTGAAACCAAGGACAGTTTCCACAGGCGCCACACCTGAAATGCCTACATAAGGTGGACCGGATGAAAGCCAACCTCGTTGGATTCATCAGATGCAACGGCTTGAAAGGCCCTTCTGAATCCCACCTGCCCAAATGCAGAGAAATCATATGAAACCATCAATACTGATATTGAGCCTTGTATGAACATACTGGACCTGAGTTCATCCGAAATCTCGCCAATTTCGTACAAATGTAGCTACTTTCTACTCTTTTTGATCCACCAGTTACTTGTCGTTGAAATTAAGAATATCCAACTAGAGCCGGATAAGGTAACGAGAACAGGGAAGAAAAATGCACCAGGTATCAGCTATGGCAGAGAATTTTGCGAGCTCTGGTTGCTTCAAAGACGATATCGTCTGGGCATTTGGGCTTTGCTTAGAGGTACGCTCGTCAGGCAACGGAGAAGAAGAAGAAGAAGAAGAAGAAAAAGCGGCGGAGGAAGCAACGGTTACGGTGGTCGGGAGCGGCCGCCGGAGAAGAAAACACGGCGGAGGTGTGATTTGGGGAGAGAAACGACGAACAGGGAGAGGCTTTCTCAGTTGATTCAACAGCCTCACCGCCATGATTGTGAGGACTAGCGATTGAGGAAGAAAGCAATAAGCACAAACCCAGAAATCTACACGAACGATTAAGGCTCAGAAACCTCGTAGAACACTGAAATCAAACAATCCCCACTTATTTATCACAGTTTCCTTCGGAGAAAGCATCGAACTTTAGAGATTGGAAAAATAACCCAGAAACAACGAAATCGAACGGATCCAAGAAAAGGTCGGAATCATTGAACTGAGCATGAAATCTCACCGGCGAACGGAGTAAGAAACAGAGATGCGTTCATACCAAAAAAAAAAAAAGAAACGGAGATGCGAGGGCTTCAGAGTGAATTTCTTCGGGTGAATGATGCTTAGACCCCTCTTGTTTTTCCGTATGTGAAAAAATACGTCATATTTTACTAAATTTCACACAAATGCCCCAACGTTTGAAGACAAACTATCCCCCCCCCCCCCAAAA